GGGTACATTGTAAATTTTCACATTGTATTTCAATGGGGTGGATTAAACGTGATTAAAACTAATAAAAAGACCACAGGTAATTACAAAAACATTTTATTTCAACAGCTTTGACATAGGTGAAAAAGACAATGTAAAAAAATGTTTGAAAAATGAAAGTTTCAGGAAGTTACAGGGTGGGGGGGTATACTACAAAAGTACCATTTTGCGTATGCAGTCTCGTCAGAGGGCGCAGTTCGTTCTTATGCTGATGTTTGCCTTGTTCCCCACGCCTGATCGAACTGTTTGGATGAAAGAAAAGTGGGTAACATGCGTCATTTGATTTGTTTTGGTGAGCGAATAAAATTTGCTTCAAAAATTAGAATCAAAAGAAATGAAACCAAGCGCATGGATTCCATAATTCGCCCATGCTCGACCCAGTGTGTAGCCTCAATGATATCGCTAATGCTTTCGAGTTACGGGACCCAGATTTTAATTAACCAGAATCGGTGTATTTTAAATACACTGCTACTCGCCACTGTATATTAGCACAGGTACATGTAAATCACTTCATGCCAATACCCCTGGTGGATCACTTTCCAGACTTTAGATTTTCATACTTTTCACATTTATTATTAACACGACAATTCATGCGTTAGCACTAACTATAACTAGCTAACGCATGAATTTTTGTGCTAATTTATTATTTGCACATTATCACATTAGTATTTACTTTGGTCTTATTTTGCACAGTTAAAATATTTTTCTATAGGTAGCCAAAATATCTATACCTCGATGAAGGAAAATCTAAAGGTGTTGTCTGTACCGTAAAAACTGGGTTTGTTTTTCTTGACATAAAATTCAAAATTTACATTTTAGATCAAGCCACTGGTGGGAACATATTGTGAATCGGACTTTAACGGATGGAGATTGGATGGAAAATTTTTGTATGAAAAGAGCAACATTCCAGTATCTTTGCCATGAACTTAGACCTTTTCTGGAGAAAAACCCCCGCAGAAAGTAAGTGGCAGCACATTCTTGAGGGATAATATAAAGAGCAGGATTGCATGTATATGATTGCTCATAATGTTTGCAAAAATTAAAATTTACTGTGGTGTCTTTTTGTTGATCTAAAGGCTAATGACAAATAGCATGCAATTATACAATCATGTTACATTATTGTCGTATGAAAGACCTAATATGACCAATTTTGCATTTGTGAAAAATTCAGTTCCCCATTTTTCGTTTACAAAATTTTGCAATTCCCAAGTTGGTGATTATTCATAAAAATGTCTGTAACATTAAACAGTAATACGTACAACTAATGTGGGAAAATATCATGGATAATTGCTGCCGTTATTGAAACTTGTAAGGCAAAGTACTTTTATATTCATAACCAAGACTGTGAAATTGCCATTATATATTAATATTTTGCAGTAACAACTCAAATTTATGTTTTTCCTAGATGTCATTCAGTAGAACTCAGGGTTGCAGTGACTCTCTGGATATGTGGCTCTGGTATGGAATACAGAAGCATTGGGCATTTGTTTGGAATTGGGATATCTTCAGCCTGCACCATTTTCCAAGAAACTGTGCAGGCCATAGCCACCCATCTTTCTCCTAAATTCATTCAGATGCCCAGTGGGAGAAGACTACAAAATATTGTGGAGGGATTTGAGGCCAAATGGGGTGTTCCACAATGTGCAGGGGCTATTGATGGAACACACGTGCCCATTATTGCTCCAAGCCAAAACAAGACTGATTACTACAACAGGAAATGTTTTTATTCCATTGTTAGTCAGGTAAAGAAGAATAAATATACAGCGTGCATGATTCTCTCTAGGATCCTTGGTCCTTTAATAGCCAAAAGGTGTCCAATAAGTACAGTTACACCTATTCCACTCCCACCCCTCTTACAAATACACATGAAAAATATCCTCATTACTTTACAACACTTTTTGGTGGTGCTAAGTTGTGTTATTAGAACCTCATAGTCTTGGAATGTGTTCAAATGTTGGGAGGTTGAGTTCAGCTCTAATTTATATGTGGCTTTTTTTTTCACTAGATTTTAGAAGCAGCATTTATTATTATATTATTTTAGTTTTGTCACATTTTGTATATTTTTTCAACTTTCCGTTACAGGTGATATGTGATCATGAACTAAGAGTCTTGCATGTGGTATCAGGCTGGCCAGGACAAGTGCAAGATGCCAGAGTAC